TGTGCTTCCTACATCTTGTGACAGGGCATTGGTTGATGTTTCTGATATGTCTGCCATACTTATATTATAACATCAAAGTGTAAGACTTCTCATCTATTTATCTTTAAGTGAAACATGTTGAAAGACTTTGCATGTGTTGGTTTTCTAAAGATGGTGCAACGAAAATGGTTTGAAGAAAGGATTAAAAATGTCTCCCAATATTAAGCATAGAGCTTTAAATAGCCAACTTAAAACAGAAATCCTGCGTATTTTAAAATTCAAAAACCTAAAACATTTCAACCCAAACTACTTATTTTTCTAATAATTTGGCAGTAACAAAAGCAATTTTCAACACTCCTCTGCATCATTTGCTGCAATTAAGACAAGTTGTTCCTCAATTTCTACTTGTAATGTTTGTGCTTGAGGACTGTTTTGAGCTTCTCTGAATTTGTATATTTTTGCAACACGACTCTTTCTTCTTCTTTCTTTTCTCTCGTTTTGGTTTTGTGCATTCAGTAACTTTGTCGGGTCTGAAAGCTCTTTTGGAAGTGATTTAATCTGGACAATTATAAGATATACAGAGTTATTGTAAGGATCTTTCTTCCTTCACAATATACAATGAATCATGGATTTTATGATATGATTTCAATTTCACTAATCAAATTTATAGTTTTCACAATGAAAATTTGTGTGGGATTCAAAGAGAGAACTGTTGCTTGCCATTTTTTTTTTGAAACTGGTAAGGTTGAATGCTTCAGCATTAAGGGTATGCTGTCTACCTCCAAAAAGGAATAATAAAAGATTTCCTATCAAATTTATAATCTGGTCTATATCATCTATATTGGTTAAAAATAATTTGAAATTTGTAGAGGGTACAGTCACCTTCCCCAAACCTCACTTGTGGGATTGCATTGCGTATGTTGTTAAAAATAATATTAGAAAATGATTTTGTAGATGCACCCACAGATCCCGTAAGACTAATGAGTTTCTTGATGCCACTGCTGTTTTTTTATAAGATGGTGCAAGAAAAATGATTTGAAGGATGACTAAAAATGTTTCTCAATATTAAGCATAGACCTTTAAATAGCCAACTTAAAACAAATATCTGCATATTTAAAATTCATAAACCTAAAATACCTCAACTAATAGTATCTAACTAAATTTAAATTTTTTAAAAATGACTCCTCCTAGTCTCCTACAACTAAACTGCATATTTTTCTGGTAAATCTGCAGTTGTCAGTCCCTTTGTACTGTTACTTAGCCCTGACATCTCAATATATAATCTGACAACTGATGTTAACCCTTCATCAGCTATACTGATCGCTGCCACTTGGTGGATGTAACTGAGATTTTCAATCAGCTTCCGTGGGATAAGAAGGTTCGGTTGTATAAGCTTGGATACCTTGTGATACTTCTTGCCTTTTCGATATTCTGGTATGGTGTCAGCAACAAGCTGCTAGTTCTCATCTCTTAAACAACTTGTAAACCTAATTATATCAGTAGTTTATGCTTTTAGCTCATGCCTAATCTTTTGTGATTTTAGGATGGTTTGGAGCATTGTGGATGATGAAGTATGAGGAATTGCTCCTTTCATGAAAGGTCTGTACCCTCTCTTTCTCTCTCTCTGAGTCCCCCATATGTTCTGAATTATATAGAAAAAATGTGAAAAACTAGGATGATCCCGACTGGCCAAGCCAAATCGGGCAACTTTGTCTTTTATTTTCTTAGATGTTTTCACTAAAAAAAAGAATACTTCATCCGCTTCAAATGACAAATTATGGTCCTACATAAGAGTTGCAAATGCACAAATTATGGTCCTACATAAGAGTTGCAAATGCACCGGTTTGTAGGTGTGACACTACTACGACTGAAGGTGTAACAAAGGACTAGGTAGCCTTTGCACATGTCATCAATGCAGAGTTACTTAAGAACCGAACATTATTGAGAAGATGATTAATAAAAGCGATAGCATGAGTTTATGTCTTAGTTGTTGTCGTTTACTTACATTAGGTCTATTCTAGTTAGAGACTTGTATGTCAGTGGAGGGGTAAGTCTAAAATTTAGAAAAAGGAGATGATTTACTATTACCTGACAGACATCAACTTCTTCATTTATACTTCTTTACCAATTTGCATGCATAAAAGAGAGGATTTATTATTATTACCAGAAGACATGGCTTCATTTGTATGTTTTTTGGAATTTTGCTTCTGAGATGTTGTCCTTTGGGTTTTCGCAAAGTGTGTGGGTTTCAGTATGGGCACTATATATGACTAAGGGGAACTGCTTCTGTGTTTTTCTTTGGGTAATATGAAAATTTATTAGAGGGAACTCTTTGCACCACACTTTGGCTACCTACATCTGCCTTGTGGATAGAAATCCATTTTCTGCAGTTGCTTGGCTAATCTTGGCTTCCACCTACCTCAACGGTGTACATCCCGAATTATCATTTTGACAATAACTACATCAGATCTTCTATTGTTCTGGAGTACCTTTTGGTTCCTCCCTTGCCAAATGTAGTATAGGCTTCTAGTTTGTGCCATTTTGTATACTTTAGTTTGTGTGCTTTCTACCGTAAGCATGTGTTCTTACCCAGTTCAGCTTCTGTATCTACCCCATAGCAGTTCTGCTTATACCTTGCCGGCTGAGTATCTTCTGACAGATGATAGATGAAGTTGAGCATGCAAAGAACAGATGTGTATATCATCATCTTCATTTTCACCTAATGGACATGTTGAGCTACTACCTGTCTTACCATACCCCATTAATCAACCTGTCTCTTGTGTATAACCTTCCTTGTATTGCCAAATACAGGATAGAAGGCCACCTCGAGTTTTGCTGTGAGTAACCATTTTCCCCCATTCTCAGCTTGTTAATTTTCCTTATGGAGCGTTTCCCAAAGTTCTGTAGGTATTCATTAGATAGCCCAGTACCCTCCATGATGATTTCTTGGAATTATCCATGATGCTCTCTTAATAGTCACCTCCCAGGTTGCTTTCCTTTTCCATAAGATGTGTACGTATTTTATCCATAGTTTTTCTTTTTTCTTGCATAGATTTCAATAATGCTTCAGGATGGCATCTTTGTTCCAAACCAGTATATCAGTAATATTTAATCTTCCAGCTGATTTGGGCAATCATAGTTTATCCGAGGTCACCAAAGCTCTTTTTGTAGCACCAGTCCGTCGGAATCTTCTACAGACAGTCTCGATTAGACGAATATCCTTCTCAGGCAGAACGGAAATTTTGGGAACAAAGTTTGTATGTTAATTGAGACACTCTCAAGTCTTAATAAACTGCAACCTGCGTGCATAAGATAAGAATTTTGCATTCCAAGTGGTAATCCTCTCATCTTATCAATCAGGGGTTGACACTGTCTTACAGATAATCTTTAGAGCTCAAAGAAACACTTAGATACCTGAGAGGTAAGGTGAACCATTGAAAAAACCAAGTATGCTGTTTTTGCTCATTTTTACCTGACAAAACTACATTCCCAAGATTCCCAACAACCGAAATGTCTGGTGATCGCTTGTATACTAGGACTCCATTCAGTCAAGTTAGATATAATTCTATTTTTCTGGGGTTTCGAGCCTCATCTTCCAATCCATTTTAGGTGGTATGATTCGGTGTATGATTCAAGCACTTAGTACTTGTTAGTGGAGTCGTGTTGCTACGTTTTGTTTGCTACTATACTAGAAGCTAAAGTTAAAAGCCACAAGCATTTGTTACATTTCATCATCTCCTAAATCTCTTCTTTACGGGCTTCACTTTTTTTCTTGTTTGTTTTTCCGCCTCTTTTCTCAGGTTTGATCGAATGAAGAAATTGGGATTTCCCAGGCACTATAGCACGGTGGAGCTGGCCTGTTGACATCTATCAGTTTACTGAGTTGATGGTGCCATAAACAGATTGTCGGTGATGGCTTTACGGAATTAATCTTAGTGTTGGAAGTCCTCAACTGGCTGGGAAGCATACACTTTCTGATGCTCGAGTTACATCTCTTTTTTTCTTTCTTTCTTTCTTTCTTTTTGTTAGGTTTAACTTTATGATGCCCCCTTTAAGCACGTAATGTTTTGGGCAATAGGCATATAGTTGAACTTGTATAAATCAGGATAGTCATTGCGATTTTATATCATAATGTGTTAGCATATGATTTACTGAATGTACTAGTTTTCCAGTGTAAATCAATTTTTAGTAGAATGACTTGCCTCTGGGGTACTATGGGTTGTGACTTTTCTTTATTTGGTTACATAAGCAACCATGATAGTTACATACATGAATACATAACGAGTCTTATGATAACTTCCCCAAATTTTGTGTAAATATTTGTTGGTATGAATGTTCACTATTGATACCACACTTCACTCATAGTCTTTTACTATATGAATATAAAAATCATATGTGAGTACATAAGAAATCATAGATTGATAAGTTATATTCACCATAGTATACTCACCTAGATATGTTAAGAGGTTTTGCAATATATGTGATTTTTGTTTTAAAAATCATATCTGAGTCAGGCGGGGATCAAGATATGGGACAGGATTCGATGTGGGGAGTTGGGTCTGAGGCGAGGTTGAGATTCGAGTCTCGGGTCAGAGTTGGGGTCCCAGATTGGGGTCCTGAGTTGGGCTCAGGAGCCGGGGTCAGGTCAGCGGGCAGCCTATTTTCGGGTAGTGAAATTCAAAGAAGGATATTTTCTTTACTTCAAAAGTCATTTTCCTCAAAATAGAAAAAGAGATTGAAAATTACTTTGAAAAACATCTAATTCAATCAAATATGAGAAAATATATATGTAACAGATGGCAGATCTGTTGCATTTTTTATTTGAATATTCGATGAAAGTGAAAAAGTAAGAAAATGTGAGAGGATATACAATTCCAGAATATTGCTGGGAGTAAAGATGACTTGACTTTATCTAGTGGTGGCAAATGGATAGGTTAGTTGGGTTTGAACAAGTCGAAAACGAATCAAATAAAAATGGATCACAACTCAACCCGTCCATATTTCCTGCAATCAAACACAGGTTGGATAAATAAATTTGACCCTTTTTATGTAAGAAAATCATAATACGGGCGGGTTAACCAAATCTGGGTTATTCTCATGCAACATACACATATGGTGAAGAAATCAAACACAAGGTATAGAAAAGTACCACCTATACAGATATTATATTGAAGACAGAAAATAAACAGCAATATATATACTGAAAAGATAAGTGAGCAGAAGCAAGTTCTGGGCTGCTTGAGTCTGAACCTGGTGAAGAATTTTCCGGTTGATGGAGACGATCGAATCCCAGAACTTATATCAAGATCTTTAATGTGAAGGATGTATAAGTAGCGGCGCTTGCTTATGCTTCTTCACTGCCACTTTGATTGCCATATTTGAGTATATTGAACTTGCAAAGAGGACAGGTTGCATTTATATACAACCACTTGTCTATGCAGGCTGCATGAAAATGGTGACGACATGGGAGCTCACGCAGCTCGATTCCATCTTCATAGGAACAAAGGCAAATGCAACATTCCTGCAAAATGTAAATAACAGATTTAACTTCTAAGACTTGGAAAGTTTGTGATACTTCATGAAAAGTTCCTGGTTGAGAAAAAGACGAATGTTTCATAAAACATACAGCATCTTCTGGTGGAAGAACATGCTCAGTAGGTGTATCGGTGTCGCATTCAACCATTACTCCTCCAAATGATTCTTGGATATCACCATTCTCTTTCTCAAAGTTGCCTAGTCTCTTAAACTTGTACTTAGGCAGTCTTTCAACATCTTCCTTCGTTGCACCTTCCTGTTTCAAGGGATAAGTAAATTATGAGAGAGATATTGAGAACTACCAGGTGAGAGAGAAGATCCACCCAAGAAAAGCAGCGGTTCCATCATATTTTAAGTAATCTCATTTGACTAGATTCTCAAGAGAATAAGATCGATCGAGTGGTCTCAGTTGGAGATGAAATTGCACGTGTTTGTAGATTGAACGAGATTCAAGTTGGGGAATCAATGACAGGACATCAATTCAAATCTTTGGGGAATTCAGCCAAGAGCTTCTAGTTGCATTTATTGTACAAGGGTGCAGAAATATGTACTACAACTTCTTTATTACTTCGACTCTTGTAAGAAAAATAATGCACATCAATATCTCCTTTCAATAATGAAGATCTTTTCTTAAAAGGTCTAACAAAAGGCTGCGCAAGAAAAATCCCAACAATGCTGATTACACATCTACCTTCCTGCGTTTTATGTTTCTGAAACAAACTCGGATGTATAAAATAACCCAAACAAATGTATAATCTTACACAATTTGCAACAGCTATTTGAACCATATTGACGAAAACCAATACGTTGTGCACATTGAAAGCCTTCTTTTTTCGCTGTTTATGTATAACAAGGAGCTCTAACTCAGACAACATATCAAAAAGAACAGCTGCTCCAAAAGCATAAACAATGTGTGTGTTGCTGAATCTGTTTTTTATTTTTTTTAATGAACATTATAGAGTATTCATTGATATTTTTCTAAATATTCTCAAGCTAACATTATCTATAAACACAGGAATCTCCTAAAAGCTATTATCAAAGATTTTTTCCTTCCCATAACCACAAATATCTACGAGGTTACAACAACAACACACCCAGTGCAGGGAGGGTAGTGTGTAAGCAGATCTTATCCCTACCTTGTGAGGTAGAGAAGTTGTCTCCAATAGACCCTCAGCTCAAGGAAAAGCATATCAAAGCAGTTCGGGAAAAGAAATACAGAAGTGAAGACAGATATTTACAAGTTTGACTTACATGCCAAAAGGAATGTCGTCGTTGTGAATCATGACAAATGATTGAAGTGACGAAAGGTTTAACAGATTTACCTGATCTGTCACTGCATATAAGATTGCAATAATACATGGGAGACAGCAGCAAACAGCAATTCCAATGACACAAGCCACAGCAACACATATAACAACAAAAAACACATCAAACGCCAGAAATGTGATACAGAGCCTGCAAAAGATACCATTTAAATTAACATAAAGTAGAAGTAGAAGTATAAGAAAATGAAGTAGAGCGAGAGCCTAGTTTTAAGATAAACCAGTAAAGTTGAGGCGCATCACGGGGCATAGTCTGGCCACCAGCAGATACCCAGTAGAACCCGATTATCCACCAAATGAAAGAAAACATGGTGTTTGCAGACTCCAGATGCTTGGCAACACTGAAACAATAAATCAAGAATCAGTGGTACATTATTAGGCACAAATATGCAGTTCTATTCTTCTCGAAACATTTTTTTAAAAAAAAATAAAATTGGTTTCGACCATTCATCGGGAACAACCTTCATTTTTCACAGTTTGAATATCCCCACTAGTGGGATTTCACTCGGTATGTTGTTGTTTTGGCATCAATTTGAATAACTTTGGGATTCATGTTCAACTATCCAAGTTCAGCAGCCTACTGGACGTTAGTTCTCAAATAGGCCAGTAAAACTAGAGCATCAGTAACACGGGTGTCCATTTCAGCACCCGAAGAAGTTTTGAAGTAAGTTTACTTTTGAGTTACACTAAAGTGATAAGGATTGTCACGTAGCACCAAATGACTTTATATATCTTACAGACAAAATTAAACAAATAAAACTGTATTTTTTTTATAACAGGCTAATCTTTTAGATGAGTACACACTTTAACATGGTACAAAACAACGTAGGCACAGATCCTCAGTTTGACTCTCACCGCCACTTGTTATATAAAAAGAATTTCCACATGCTTGACCATGAAAAACAACCAGGCTTACATGTGAAGGGTGTGTTGAATACATAATTAAAAGAATAAAAATGTGCTCTCTTTAACACCCTAAGCCTTAAGATAATATGATCAAACACTTTTAACAATCGAAATTAAGAAAAAAAAACTAGCACCAAATTAATTTGAGCACATCAAAATACATAGCCTTAGCTAATTTAATATCACTATATAGTTGATTAGACAAATCAACTCATGATTATGCATAATCTATAGTCTGAGATATTGATCAGAACCTACACTTTCCTGTTTAGGTAAAATGTCCCCCATTAGCAAAGTCTCTAGAAGTAAAGCTTCCCCTGCCTTCACTATTCCAATAGGAAAGGTGCCTGTAAGATTGTTTCTCAAAATGGAGCCTCTAGTGCCTCTCCAACCAAATAGGCCAATATTGACGCAGCAGATTTATGCAGTGATTACCTATGATAAAGCAACATTTGTACAAGAAACAAGCAAGCTATCTAAGAAAGACATCTGCAGTAATCAAGCAAACCAAAATACAAATGTCATTTTTCCTGCACTACTCTGACTATCCTAATCTCTAGTAAAATGATAATCTCATCATCCTATCTTGACAAAAAAACGGAGCAGAGTAAACCAATTGATGCTTTTGTCTGAATACACAGTTTTTCAGCTGGCTGTTATGTTAGCTGCAGAGCGCCTTCCGAAATTCTCTGAGCTTGGAAAGATTTTTCAGTATTTTCTTATGATGACGTGGTCAGAGTTCTGAAACTTCCTTCCTTTATATAAGGAATTATCCTGGTTTGTCGAAGCTAGAAGACAGCTGGACGAACTTTTATTTCGCATAGGGGAAGTAAGATTCACATAGAGACAGCTGCTATCTTGAAATATCTTTCTACGTTAGCTAGCAGGGGCGGGCTTTCCTTTAGTAGTTCTGCGGCAGCCTCTAAATGGCCATCCCAAAAGATTCCAAGCCCTTCCAAAGCCGAAGCAGAATTTTAGGTTTATGGGTTATGAATTTTAAGACAGGACAATGAACTCAATCTAATGTATAACAATCCCAAACTAACAAACAAATACCGATATTAATCTATTTTTAAAAACGACAAACTAAATATGACAAACTACTTACACTATATAAATGTAAGTACTATCATTTTAATTGCACTCAACAGTTGTCATATCTTGAAAACGTAAATAAACGATGGCACCGTAATACAACAACTTGCTTTTTTTGGTTCATTATACATTTTATGTTGTTGTTTTTTTCAAAAAATTGCACATAGAAAGAAAAGAAAAAGACCTACGAGAAACTCGGAGAGAGTACTGAATATTCTCTTTTAGAAAGAGAGCACATATAGCAAGAAAGCAACTACAAATGACGCACAGGTACCAAGTTTAGGACCCACATATCCTAGGGGAAACAAAAGCTTTGCAGTCCGCCGATACACACTCCACTTGTTTTTGTATGTTGTTTCACGTGATAAAAACCTAAGTTGCTCGGACTCCTAAGCATGTCAACAGTCAATACGATGTGGGTGTGAGATCCGTACTCGATTTGGACAGCGGATTTTGGATACTTTGACCAGATTCGAGGGAGGAACATTAGAAAGATTCAATGATTTCTGTAATAAAAACAGAAGCTTAAGTGAAATTGAAAGAAAGGGAATACCTTGTATATATATAAATTTCTACTGCCACTCTCTCCTTCCGAGATTCTCCTCTGGATCATTATTTTCTCCTCGAGTTCTCCAAATAATATCTCATAATGTAGGTTTTATAACTGTATTTTTAGACGAAACCCGCAACCATATCCACACATTGATCCGTATCCCCCAATCTTAAAATTTAGGTTATAGAGTATCTGACCTCTAGATCCGCACCCGTATCATACACCCGCACCCAAGTCGGAGCAACTTCGTTAAAAACTATATGAGTATTTGTTTCTTGAGTTTTTAGTACAAATATAGGGTCGACACAAAAGCTACCTGGGTTCGCCAGAATCCCATGTTACACTGTAGCTCCACCCCTGGTTATAAGTATCTTTAGGGCTACCACTCTTTCAGCCATGCTACAGAAACTAGCTTCAGAGTTCAATTAGTAACACTAAGCCAACTTATGCAACACTAGAAACAACGTCAAGCAATTTCTTATTCACCAAGCATCCACAAAAGCAAGAATTACCAACAACGATAATATTATCATTCCATCTCATGAAACAGTGTTTAAATAGGTATATATGCAGTTCAAAAATGTTAACTTGCTTTATAATGAAACAATAGTTATTTGAATAGTTTAAAAGAATGGGATCATAAGATACCTAGTTTCATCCTCATTTTGATTCCTCTCCTGCGAATAATCACCAGACTCCCCTCCGTCACTCTCCGAACTCAAGTTCCCAACTTCGGTATTCCAACTAGCACTCCCGCTTCTCTGCTCAGAACTACTCAAATTTTCAGAGGATTCCCTTAACCGTCGGCGTCTATACTCAACGAAAACACAAACCATATGAAGCACACTCTGTGAAGCATATCCAACAATCCAAAGCCTTAACGGCATAGAAGGAGACTCATTTCGGCTCAGTACAAGCACAGAAATCGATACAATAACAAAAGCTAAGTTCCATAAAAGATCTATTATCACTATAGGTTTTGAGTAAGCCCAATCACTTTGCCGCTCCTCGATTTGCTCAGCAGCGGCTTCTCTTACTCGCATCGACGGCTCACGCATCAATCGTCGGCTACTTGCACGCCGTAGAAATCCGGCAGCTCCTCTGAGGCTCGGAGGGCGACGGAACGAACGTCGGCTCCTGGAATTCTGGCTAGTGAGAAACGGCGTCGTATCAATTCCGACACCGTTGCTTGGGCTAACATCGGCGTTAGGTATGTTATCATTGGCGGCTGTTTCCGTAGACATCGCCGGAAAATTTGTGTGAAGATAACGACGGGAAATTGAAGTTTGTTTCAGGTAGGGTTGATTTTCAGACAAAATGGTGATTTTGAATTTGGGTTAGGAAAGTGAAATGACAAAAATTTTTGGTCCACCACGCGCTAGAGAGTATAGAAAGAGATGTACTCTCCAAAAAGGCAATTCGATTTTGTAGCTGCGCTAAGTGAAACCCGCCAAATAACACGCGTCTGTTTCTTTTCCTTGTAGTAATCTAATAATATAAGTAATTATTTCTTTTCTTAAATTACAAATTTTTTGCCAAAAATATAAAATATTCCATAATTATATCTATACACTTGAGCTAAATTCTTAAGTCATCATTGTGAAAATAATTGTTCTTATTATTTTTAAGTTCAATGCTCACATCTGAAATTTAGTGTGATAAAATGTATCACCAAAACTTAAAAGACAAGTTATACAAAAGCGATGGTAAGATTAACTATGTTGTACGGAGTGCTGGTCAATCAAGAATCCTCATGTCAAGAAGATGAAAGTTGCAGAGATGAGGATAAATGTGTGGGCATATTAAAAGAGATAAGATTAGAAATGAAGATATCTGGGATAGGATAGGAGTGATCTCGATAAAGGACAAGATGCAAGAAATAAGATTGAGATAATCTGGACATGTGTAAAGTAATTGCACGGACACCCTAATGTGGAGGTATGGGAGGTTGACTATAGATAGTTTTAATAAATGTAAAGATAAGTCGAAGAAATGTTAAAGAAATTTGTTTAGATAAGACATGATGCTATTTTAGTTTATCAAGGACATGAGCTCATCTACCGAATCCTTTTCTACTTCATGTTATAAAAAACACAAATCAAAGATCGTAAAACAATTAAACATTGTTTCGTTTCTACTTCTTTACTACTAACGGTACTTTAAGTTATAGTATTACGCTAATTCGTTCAATTTTTACTAAGTTTTAACTTTTATCTGTTCTTTTTACAGAATAAAAATATTTTTCATTTATCATAACAAAATGAAATGGTATTTCAATAAAAATTCTCTTATACAAAATGGAAAATGCAATATTGAGATCTAGACAGAGTGAGAATCGTAACTGAGACTATTTAAATATAGTTCCAAAGAGACATTAGAGAATACATTAAGTAATGAATTTCACATTCCTATATAAGGCAAGTGGATTGGAAGAAATCAAATCAAATTGATATTACACAAAAATAAACCTATTTCAACTACAACTAGTAATCCTGTTTGGAAGAACCTACTGATCTTCTGAATGCCCACAAACTAGATGTATGTTGTAACAAAAACAATTTATAGATGTGAACTCATCTAGAACTGCCTAGGGCATTCTACACTAACACATCAACTTAATAAATAAAAGAATTTCATATTGTGAACTCTAACTCTGATCATATTAGCACATAACTCTTTCTGCATGCATGTCACCATCCTTGCTGGCCTAGAAATGCTGTAGACCCCTCTCAAAAAACTCTTTTGCACAATTCACTTCCTCATGTGCTCAGGAATAAGGCGCTGTCTCAGTTCAGTGGGTGCACCAGAAAGTTCTGTGTGAGGCTTACTACAGTCAGACGGGGCGAGGTAATTATACCGATAAAGTTAGAAAGGAAAAAAAAAACGGAACTCAGCTCAACCTTGAGGTGTGAAGTTGAATAGAAGTGGCAAAGGTCGTCCATTAGGCAAGCAAGCATTTGGTTTTCTCAGATCATCAAAGAAAGGGTGTGCACATGCCTCCAACTGAAAATGAATATAAAGACTATGACTTATTCAAAATGCCTCATCATATCAAATCCACGAAAGGAGTCTACAAGCATGTTTACATACTACTGGTGAAATATGGTCGCCCTCTCAATAGGCTTCATAAACTTATTGATTGTACACAAGTAGTTTGTATGTGTTTTCTCATTAACTACTTTAAGCTTTATGCTAACTGCAGGAAAAGGCTTAGTCATTCACTTACAGCAGTACATCGGAGAGTTGGTGAATACTGCAGCAACCTTGAGGCCAGATCTACAGCTTCACGGGGTATTTTTCTTTGAAATATCTGCAAAATATTGAGATTCAATCTTCAGCGCCTCAGCCTATGAGTGAGTGAACTTGGAAGGGACAGTGGGTCAAAGAACTTCAGCGAGGAGAACAAACAAAAGAAACTAAGATATAAATAAACACTATACTTGATAATTTGTAACAAACCTTGTGCCACGGGTGAGCTTTGATTTGAGGGAACTTGAACTCTGTATAGTTTGGATTCATGCACCTAATTTCCTCTCTAGTTGGTGTCCCCAAAATCTAGCACGGATTAAGTACATCAAAAGACCATAAGCAACGGAATGAAACTCAACTGGCAACGCTTTAAGAATGGGGGATGAAAACTGATGTACCATAATAGCATACCTTGATGATCTCCACCAGCTGATCAACACCACTTTCTCCAGGGAAAAGAGGCTACACATGATGCAACATTCAATGCATCAGACTAGTTTATACCACAGTAACTCGAAATATGATGCTCAGAAAAAAAGATTTTCTAAGACTTTCATAGAGAAGTAGTATATCACAACCAAAAAAACTACCATAATAATATCATGATCCGCCAAAAAAGAGAATCAACTACAAGTAGGAAACATTTAGGTGCAAGCACCTAAATATCTACCTTAGCACAAGAGAGGCACCATAGAAACCAAAGCTATGTAGGTGTAAGAAAAAGTTACCAACTTTCTACAGCTAATATCAGAAAGAGTGAGAAGATAGGAACCACAAAGTCGACTCACCTGTCCCAAAAGTAGCTCACCGAAAACGCAACCAGCTGACCACATATCAATTGCCGTTGTGTACTCTGTAGCCCCAAAGATCAATTCAGGCGCTCTATAATACCTAGAACAAATGTAGGCTATATTGGGCTCCCCATGAACCTATGGCAAGAAACAAAAGTCTGAGTAGGGGCAAACACCTAGAAAAACGTAGTTCTCAAAAGAACCCCACATACCAGCATCTTTGCACTTCCAAAATCACAGATCTTCAACTGATGAGTGTGTGGATTAACCTATAGCAATAATTAAAACAATAATACCACAAATAGTTAGAACAGAAGCAATCACAATGAAGGAAGAGGGAAAGCAACTGTCACAAATAACCAAGGAAATGGAAAAGATACAAACACCTAGAAGCAAAGGAGCATAACCAGCAAGCTTACCAAAAGATTCTGAGGTTTAATATCACGGTGACATACCCCAATTACATTGTGCATGTAATTTAGAGCCCGACATATCTGCATTATGATAATTATGAGAAAGAAATCAAGTTATAGCTTCGGGAAAATCAAGATAATTCGAGTAAACAAGATGATGTACTGTAAAAGTGTCGAAATTATCTTATTTACACAAAGTTCTTACATATAAAAGTAAGAAATCACCCAAACGCTTACCTGGTACATGTACAATTGAACGTATATGATGGGCATGTGATGGTTCACTCGGCTGTAGTGCCTTGAAACTCGGTACACAGTTTCAGACACATACTCCAGAACAAGGTTAAGGTAAACTTCATTCTTCTCAGTAGAAGAATAGAAACAGTGCCTCAGGTGAACAACATTAGTATGATCAAGCATGCGCATAATCTGTAGTTCCCTGTTTTTGTATCTCCTATCCTGCAAGACCTTCTTTATGGCCACAGATTCACCTGTTTCTAGGCACTTGGCCTAAGGAAAGAAAAACAGAGAAGAAATGAGCAAACGTCAAGCAGAGCCGCCCAGACGACTTCAATGCTTTCAAATAAACACCTGATCCTTCCTACTGACCCAATCAAACACAATTTTACCTGAAACACAACTCCAAATGATCCCGTACCCACCACACGTTCAGCCATGTAAGACAGTGTCTGGGACAATAGCATGAAGTTTATTAATTGAGTAAAATCCAATTACATAACAAATCACAAGCGACATCACATCTAAGTCTGTTCAATTCTGAAGATGAAACTTACCTGTTTCTTCTGTCCATTTCGATCACTCAGAGTAGTCACAATTATCTGGCCTGTTTCTGTTCCATTACCACTAACAACAGTAGGCTCCATATCCTATAACATTTTATCATATCATAAAAAAAGGATTCTCCATAAACAATAAAGCAACATGATGTATTATATAAATAAGAAGTTACCTTTAAGTCATCCTCATGGTCATAAGAACTTTTCTCTCTAATTCTCATTTCATTTGGAAGCTCCTCCTTTCCAGATTTTTCCTGCCTTGTATCGACAGTCAATGTACTTGCATCACTTCCCTCAGATGTAGAAGTCACATCATCCTTTGACGCTATAGTACATCGCTCTTCCATTTGAAATTCAATATCAACCCTGTGATCTACTTCTTGCTCATTCTTCAGTCTCTTTAGACTAATATCCACTCCCTATTAAATTAGTAAAAAAAAATTGAGAAAATGCACTTAAACACAAACCCCACTCATGAAAAATTATACTGAGTATATTATTATTTGACGACAATCACATCAGAAGAAACATTAACAATCTCATGATTCATTTAAACATTATAATCATATCACAGAGTTAATAAATGAGATTGTTCTATCACCATCTTTAGCAATGGTAAATGTTAAAAAATGACAAAGTCTCGCATATAGGTGATTAATGAGATGGGTGCTGAGTTAACCCTACGACCTAATTTTACAGTAAAACTACTTATCTTCGGTCGCATTAACAAGCTAATCAAGTACAAATAAGCATAATATAGAATAATTCAAGACAGTCAAAAAGCTAAGATCAAAAAAAAAAAGTTGAAAAAACATGCTACACAATCACAAATCAACAAAAAACGAAGCAAACAAAACCAAAAAAATCAATAAATTATAAAAAAAAAAAAAAACATAGAGAGGAAATTACAGGATCGGAAATGGAAGATCGTCCAGACGCAATGCTCTTGAGGCGACGCATCACATTCATCTCTTTCCTTTTCCGATTTATTCAAACCCTAAAAATTGTTGCTTCTCCTCGCTCTCTTTTCTTAAATCAGAAACAAAAAGTTTCTGAAAAAAAAAAAAGAGAGAAGACGAAGAACAACAAACGAGAAATTGATACACAGAAGGAGAAGAAATAACAAATATA